TGTTTACGCTCCGTGCTATTTGGATACTGTTCTTCAACTGTCCTCCACAGATGCAAATCAAGAGACTTGGCACCATTTCAACTCATTCCGGAGTCTTTTCCCGCTAATATCCGAACATGTAAGAAAAATGACCGATAGCCTTCTATATACTTCTTCTTCTTTTACTACGTGCTTCTATACATCCCGTCGTTAGTACACTTGTCTGCGTTGCTATACAAGCTCCCCGTGTGCCGTGGGAAGAAAGCGCGCGCTGGGAAAATGTTAAATAAACACGAGAACACGAAAAGTTTCCTCACAGGTCAGTCTGGCAGGTTTTGTGTAATTTCATTTGTGAAATCTCGTCACTAAATAAAGCAAGTTCGATTCAAACAATGGCCGTTCATCAAGTGAATACCTTTATGTATTATATTTCTTTTCTCGAATAACTAACGAACATTAATCAAATTACTGAACGTTAACGGAAGTATTTAATAACCATTCAGCGAAAAATTCATAAGTACCCCATACTAAAAAGTGGGGGCTAAAGCCCTCCAACTCCCCTTGGCTTCCTAGTCGCCGCCGTCGTCTCCGTCGTCTGCAGACGACGGAGACGCGAATAGAAAATGAACATACACTTATTATAGAGTCAAAACTTCATGATCACATGATCATAATTCTCTCGTCGGTAAAAACGCGTAAAACCAACGTAGTCAAAAGACACGATCGCTGAGATGGCGATAAAAAACGGATGAAATGTATTTTAAAGGCGTCTAATTAGCGAGCTTTAGACAGACCTTCCAACTCTCATGGCTTGGGCAGTCAACTCACGGTCTCACGATTTAGCCTCCAAATCTCACGGTGAATCAGAAAATCTTAAAATTGCCTGACAATTTCGGTAGGAGCCGCGTTATTTTTAAAAAAATCGTCGTCATAAAGTACGCTTATTGTATCAATCTAATCATGGGGAGAAACCTGAGTCCAATTCCAAGCTCATTCTCGTAAAACATAGATTCGCTAAGGCCTGTGGGAAAGCCCTTGTAGCATACTCACTTGGCTACTCGCTGTCCTATCGACGTGGTTAGCAAAACAGAATTCTTCTTATTACTGCCAAAGAGCAACAAGACAGTACAACAGAGACCACTAATAGCGTAAAGAACACCATCGCAAAAATAACCTGCCTTTTTGGTTTTATTTGACACATATTTTGGAAATCTCCACGTTTGAGGTCCCACTCTCCAGGTTTTTGGAGACTTTTTTTCAAACACTCCAGATTTGCATGGTTTAGGGGTTGGAAGGTCTGTTAAGACTTTGAGGACGAAAAAGAGGACGAGAGATTTTTTTTGAGTGTGTTCTCAAAAAAAGCGGCGCCCGAAAGCTTCATTTAACGTTTTTTCACCAAAAAAGTTAGTACAGTTATTTATACTGAAGGAGGTTAAGTCCTCTCCCGTCAGCAAAATGATACAACTTGTTACATTTGATAACTTGTTCCCGCCACTACGACATTCTCGGTAAAACCCGTAGTAGAGTGACGACGGCTTTCACGTTTTCCCGCGAAAATGACGCTGGTTCACGCGTGAGCAATACGCAGTGCTGAGAAAATCAACTCTTCTCATAGTCGTCCTCGTCTCAGAATCTAAGTCTGGAGTCCTTCCACGGGAGGAGGGAGAAGGGTAGCATGTCGCTTTGTCGCTCATAGCGCCTGGAAAGAATTAATTGTGACGGAAGAGAGTTTGTTATTTCGCTGCCAAAAGAGCCACAATGCAAAAGTGAATAGATGTCGCTTTCACTCAGTACTGAAAAAATGGACTCTCGCGGTCACAATTCTATCTTCCTTTTCTCTCGATTGTTGGTGCTTTCTGAGAAGACTGTCGCCAGTTCTTGGGGCCATGTCGCCTGTCACTTGGAAGGCAACGACAATTGGTGTCCTTCTAGCCTCGTGGTACCGTCTACAAGAGGTGTTAGCTTCCTAGCAGTCCATATTTCTTCAGCTCCACAACAGTTTGACAAAATAAATAAGAACCAAGCCTTTTCATAAGAGCGTTGTTTCGCCGACGTCCTCGATGGGGATAACTGGACGAACAGATGTTAGAGAAAAGGTGGACTGAAAGCAGTCTACAGAATAAAGGGTTGTTTTTTCGAAGTCTAAAATTACTATTATGCCGAGAATAGATTTTTTGATGCTCACCTACGGAGAGATCTTGCCTGTGGTGAGTGTCCAAGCAACATTATTGCGTATGCTAGCGAAAACTTGGACTAGTTAACATTATTAGAAGGTACACTGTTCTTTTTTTTTGTCGATAGGAAAATAGAGAAAATGGTTTATATTCTTTCTCTAAATCAACTGCTGGATAAGATAAGTTGAGGTACTGAAGATATTTCAAAAGCTATTTCAGAAAAGAGTTACAAGTATAGTGGAATGAAGGGGAACATCGATGCAGGAAAGTCAATGCTAGTTATGTAATGCTAAGCGATCCGCCATCTACACAAAGGTAACCTCTCCGGGGCAAAACCTGTGCGGGAGAAGGAAGATTTCAAGTTGTACAATGGTCATTGTGTTTATCTCTGAGAAGACGCTCCAAAATAGTGTACAAGAGGTGACGGATGGGCGTGATTCCACGAATGGTCGACTCACCCTGCGTAATTTCAGTCAGAATAGATAAACAAGAAAAATAATAATAATAATAATAATAATAATAATAATAATAATAATAATAATGACTGTTTATTAAGACTCATAGCAGCAATATACAGAATGGCTGAATTACAGAGCTCTTTACAAAACATATAATACTAAAATATAATACAATAAATCCAATAAATACTAGAAAATATAATTGTGCAAGCAACTAGGTATACTTAATGCGTGACAAACTCTTGCGTACGCTTGGTCCCACAGGTAGGACGCGTGGAGCGGCTAATGCCAGATCTAAGATTATAGTTATGCACAACCTCCTCCTGTTTGGGGAGAATAAAATGCAAGGGGTGATTCTCATTCCGGAGTCTATCAATATAAACCTGGCATAGATGGGCGCGTCTGTCACTTAGAGTTGTTAAATTAAGGGCATTTAATGCCTCGTTGTAATTCATTAAAGGAAAAATGATGCGCATAGCCCTTTTCTGAATGCTCTCAATCTTATAAGATAGAAAATCTGGTATATTTTGCCAGACAGGAGCAGCATATTCTAGAACAGGACGAACAATGGTTGTATAAACCTTAGCCAGTGAAGCTGGAGGTGCACCACATTGCTTAAGGACCCTTAAAGAGTAAAGCCTCCTGTTTCCCTTTTGCACTATAACTTCTCCATGATGGTTCCATTTCAGGTCATTACTTGCATAAACGCCTAGTAGCTTATATGTCATGACTCTCTCAATTGTTTTACTACCAATTACAATAGGATTCACAATAAAATTATGATTACTCATAAAATTAATTAGCATCTCCTTGCATTTAGTAGGGCTCAATTTCATTCTGTGATCTTCAGAAAAAGCATAGATATCGTTTGTAACAAAATTGAGTAGACTGGCACTGTTCCTAGCGATTATTTCAAGGGCTGTGGTATCATCAACAAACTTTATTCTAAGGTTCCATGAGCGCAATAAATTATTTGCCGTGATTGTAAACAAAACGATTCCTAACTTGGTGCCTTGTGGTATACCGCCCTTGGGAGTTTTCCACTCAGATATAATGTCCTCAATTCTGACTCAATCCTCACAGCCTGAGTCATGTTACACAGAAAAGCTATTATCCAGTTAACTCGAACAGGGTGCACATGCATGTTCCTTAGCTCCTCAATCAGCACACTGTGGTCAATCATGTCAAAACCTTTAGAGTAGTCAGCAAAAAAACAGCCTAGCACCACAGCTCCCTGTATCCACTGCCTCATACACAGCCTGCAGCAAATAGACTAACGCGTCAGTGGTGGAATGTCCTGCACGTGCAAACTGACGAGGGTCGATCTGATGAGACACTTGTGTAATCAAGCGGTCCCCTGTGAATCCCTCAAGCACCTTAGCAAGAGTACATGTCAGAGCGATGGGCCGCAAATCGCTCTCTATCTGCTGCGGAGGTGAGATTTTAGGGATTGGGTTCAGCAGTGAGGCCTTCAAGGCATCAGGAAAATAACCCTCGATCAGGGATGCGTTGTAAATATCCTTGACAACTGGTGCTAGTTCTTGAGCGAACTCCTTCATTACCCTGTTTGGGATGCAATCAGGACCAATAGCTTTGCCGATCTTCACAGCTAAGAGGGCCTGGAAAGCTTCTCTCTCAGATACCAGGAATTCAGGGGAACTTCCTGAGGGGCCAAGACTGGAGGCTCTAGAGGTGTAAAATGATCTGTCAAACTGGTAAAAAAATTATTTACCTTATTTGAGAGGGAGAGCAAATCCGGGCAGTTCCGATCCAAGAATTGATATTGCCAATCCTGCTTAATATCCTTCCCAGTCAAGCGTTTAATATGATTCCACCAATGAAAAAGAAATCAACAAGGATTTTTGCCTTTCTCAGGAATGCTATATAAACCATTTCAAATTTCAAGCAAGACGGTTTTTCAGGACATCTGGTAAACGCCGAAAATCTTTAGGTAAAATATATCCCGGAATGTTCTAACAGCTCTTTGAAAGCTGGCAGTTTCGTTCTCATAGAAAACATGCATGCAGTAGTTAGTAAGGCTATAGCTATCTAGCTGGTAATTCGATTTAATCGAACGATTTTGTTCGATTAGTTGAGTGATTAATTGCAATTTAACAAAGTTACCGTGCAATAAACTGAAATAGTCCAGTTAAATATGAAAGGATGCACTCTTAGTTACGTACTCACAGCTAAGTTCATGTATCAACGCGCAGATCACAGCTATTTGTAAGGAGGTAACCTTTGTATGACAACGTTTCGCACGGGTCACAGTAAAAGTTTTCTTTATGCGTGTTTCACCGGGTTAAATCGGGTGTAAATTGATCGAGAATATGAGAGTTTGGACACAGCTTGTTAAATTAATTAAAAATGTGCTTGACTTCACAGACCTATGGATAGAGCTTTCAGAATGAATCTCGCAACACATGGAGAAAATTGCTCGGATCTGTCTTGCCCGCTGCCAATGTGCGTAAATTGGAGGCTGCAGAAGAGCAGACGTGGGAATCACCCGCAGAAAGACAAGCAAAGGGGACTTCCCAGGGCAGGTACTAAAAGAAACAGACACGAGCATTCGCAAACGAGAGAATTTTTTGATAAAGAGCGTCACGCTCCAATTTGTATAACCGACGATGGTGAGGAGGGGACGCTTTTGGAGCAGCTGCTTATTGATCTCGAAGAAATACAAAATGACGTTCAAGGCGCTACTGGAGGTGATCCAATGGGTCCTTTAGAGGCTATCTTGAATTGGCCCTCTCTTCCTTCTGGCATGGGTGCCCTTTGCCATCCCCCAACAAATCAAGCACACCAGTCCGTATTTGCTTTTCTACCTTCGGAGCCTTCTAACCCTGCCAACTCAAGATGTCAACTGCAGGACCCAGAGCAGTTCATCTCCTTGCATTCGTACGTCACAAACAAGCCAAACCCACCCCCTTTCACTGCGCCTGGCATTGCTGTGATGGAACCCAAAGAACAGCGACAGGGAAAGATGAGCATTCTTAGCGAGCAACCAATGCAAGCTCCCAACAAATCTTGCAAACTATTCGGAATTCTTTCCGAGATATTTAAAATGTTTGAGGAGCCCACGACAGCACATCTTCACACGATTTATGAACAGGTACTACAAAGAGCGCTAGGAGAGATCAAGAGTGCCTGTATCGATCAATCAAGACGCTTGAGGGGATATTAATCTACATCATTACTTTTGCCTAAAAGAAAATGGTTTGTTTCAAAAATGCAATAAGGCAGCGGGGAATTTGGCCAAATCGGTTGATGTGTCACGGCTGTCGTAGTTCATTGGGACAGTAGAACCCTGGTAACTTGAATAGTTTACTTATATTCTTATCAAATAACTGTATGTCTGTCCCAAAGAGATATATGAAACTTAACAAATAATAAAACTTAACTTTGAAAAACTGTTACGCTGACAAGTTTTCAAATATCGTTTTAATCTTTCATTCACACCTTCTCTAAATGTTTTAAGCGGTTTAGTGGCAGCCGTCTCAGCATTTGAATTTTCATAAATTTCTTGACAGCGCTTCTTCAAACGCAAACATAATAGAGAACCTAGGCACAAGTGACGATGTCCAGTGCCCAAGGAGGGTACATGTACGTACTCTGTACAAATTTTGGGACAAATAGGACGATATTGAAATAATAGCTTCCTTAATGGATATCGTAAAAGTTAGGTGTAACCTCAGTGTAGGTTCATTACAAATAACTGATTTAGTGCATATCAGTAATACACATGTAGGTAATTTTGTAAGTACTGGAAAAATATGTGTAAAGAAAACATGGCAATAATATCAGAGTAGATCTACAAGTTACTGTAAATATGATGTAGGTGTGTGATTAAACCTTTTTAAAAAATTTTTGTACCTCCATTTTTTTTCGAATACTTTTAAAATTTTTAAAATTATTAAAATAATATGATCCAAGAGAGGAATGTTCGTAGAAATAAGGTTTTCACTTTGAAAAACTCAACACCGAGCGTATAGGATGTCTTTGATCCGTATTAAATTTCTCTAATTGTTGGCCTCTATTCTGGCCAACAAGGCCTTTCTCCACACACCCTGATTCAATCACAGGTAACCCAGGTTCTGTGATTGCATCATAGTACGGTTCCAGTGAAATTACATTGTTTGAAAGAACACTTGACTGCAGAGCTGGAGACTCACGGGTTCGATTCCCGATTCTTAGAAAACCCTGAGCAGGCCTGAGACTAAGGTACTTCCTTTTGCACACGCAAGCAGCTAGACTTTCACTTGGCTCGGATGACCGCGTAAACTGGCTGCCCTGTTTCAAGTCGCAGATGTAAAAATAGTGTCACCAAAAGGTTACTTTTGTGCCAAATACATTGACGCTCGAATAAATTTTGAAAGATCATTTTTTAAAATGCGAGTCGCCAAAGCAAACCCCATGCATGTGCCAAAATTAAGAAAACAGAAACATATACCAGTTGACAACTAAATTGCATATTTTTTTAACTCTAGGAATGCTCCAAAGTTTCCCTATTTATCAAAAATAGGTACTGCGCTTTTAAGGAACATGATGGCAGCGGTAGCAAGAACAACAAACAAGGAACAAATGATAAGATTAGCAAAACATCAACTTGGCACGTGCATCACACTTTTTTAAGGAACAAACGAATAAAGAGTTTGACATTTGCAAAAAATTCGAAAAACATGTAGTTGCCAAGTTTTTGTTTTTGTAACCTTGTCTGCGCGCCCGGGGGGGGGGGGGCACTTTGGTTTTTTTTGGGGGGGGATTTGTTCCCCAGGACTCAAAATTGGGCCCCCGTTTTAAAAAAAATTCCCCTAAAATTTAAACCCCCTTCTTGAAAAGGGGCAATTTTTTATACCCCCGTCTTAAAATCCCCCTAAAAATTATACAGAACGGAAAAGCACAACGCTTAA